ACAATACTGATGCCTCTTTGTATACTAGAAGGCAAAGATTATATCCAACTTTCTGTAGCATAACTTCCTGATTAAATCAGTGGGACATCTGCATAGATTTGAGTGGATAGTGCCCTATATTTTTAACATGAATACAAAAAAAAAAATTAAATCCATAAAATGAATAGATGGGAACATGTGGATCCATAACTATAGTGCTTTTATATAATCTAGATGATGCTAGAAAATACTTTCCTCCATTGTAGCTGAGGAGTTAGCACAGTTCATACAACAATGTAATGCAAGTCTTATTATTCTATTTTTGAATATGTAGTTCACTGCTCAGTCAGCACAATTACCAGTGATACCATAAAAACAAAGGCAGCTATTCTTTGCCATATTTACTGGAAAGAAATTATGAAAGTTACCTGCCACTAAATTATTGTAACAGCTTTAAGTAAGCAAGGACCAATTCATTCAACACGATTGTTTTGTTTCTCTTTTCTTTTCAATTATGTGGCAACATTTTAGATCATGGAAAGTTTTTGTTTAAATATGCTGAAGTATTTGTCCGATTGTGTCAATGATTATGATGCAATAATCCCATGATTTTGCAGATCACTACAGTAAGGTAATTTGGAAATGAGCTCCATAGTAGCACATTTAGATGACTACTTTAGTATTGATATCTTCAGTTGGTGAAGATAAAAGTAAGACACTAAAGAAGGGGGGGAAACATCCACAAATAGAATTATGAGTCTTCCTGTCCTTCTCCCTCTAAATACGCACACAATATAAAATGCTTGTGTTATATGTAATATATAGAATAGAAGATGAGTGCCTTCCACATTAACTTTATTTGAATGCAATTTGTAATCATGTGTGAATCATTTTCTGACACTCTTCTAGGAAGCTGGGCAAAAATTATGTTGGTTAATATTTCATTATCAGCAAGCCATATTAGAGCATAACCCTCCAGATGGTAAATTGTATGAATGTACATTAACCCTTTGAACTCTACAGCTTCTCTGAAGAGAAAAGTTTGGCAGCAAATGAACCTACATGGTTTTGAATTATTTTGCATTTAAAACATGGAATTCATATTTTCATCCATCATTAACCCAATTGATCTCATTTAAACATGCAGATTATGGCAATGAACTTTCATGTTTGCAGATATTCTTTACTGCTTACTCTAAGTATCTTCTAGGTTTCATTTGTTTCAAGTGTTCATTAGTTTGAAAAGTTTAAATAAGATAATGCTGATTATAGTATTTACATTTTAATTCAGGTGGATAATTGTAATGATGAACAAATTCTTAGTTGGATATACTAGATTAACAGTTCTTTTGCACTTTGATTTATTTAGTTGAGTATAATATAGAATATATACGAAGAATCTATGAACCACATCACAGCAATAGGTTTTATTGATTCTGCTTCACCTTCTCTATCGATGCAATCTTAAGCATTGGGCCCATAAGAGACATGTATACAATACTAAATAATTACATACTTTAACTTTCCTCCATATGACATAACCCCATGAAATGAAAAAGCTACTAGAGGTTACATGGCTAGTAATATACATTGCTTGTGATTAGATTATTGCCAGTTTTATAGCACAGGCAATCTTTAATCACAATTAAGGTTCATTTTAACAGGGCAGGGATGTGTGAAAATGTAAACAATTCATTTTCATATATACTGATCTCTTCCGCTTTGCTGAGAAGCTGAAAATCAAAATGCTTTTAATCAAAGCATGCTGTATATTTGTACTTTATCCTGTAAATTCATATGGTCCCAGCTGTTGCCATCTGAAATTTATCCAAGCTCTCTTTGTAAGCATCTGGTGGTTTGTGAAATGATAACTTCCTAGTGTAACCTATTTCTAGCTATTGAACTATTTATGTACTTGATTGATTGATCAATTGATTAACTTTTTGATTGGTGGAGTTGAACCCCTCCCCCCTTTCCATTTTGTGGGTCTGTCTTTATCTGTTGAATCAAAAAGAACATCTGAATAAGGTACAGCAAATCTTTGTCAATAATAATTTAGAGGCATCAAGTTCTGTGAAGTAGTTTCTGAAAGGAACAACAAAGCCATTGATTTATGTCAAACACATTCCTTTGTATTTTGCAATTCACTGAATCCAATTTTATTTATTGCATTATGGACAGGCAGACATGTCATCATGTTTAATGGATGCTAGCTATGCCTTTAACATATATTATCTTAAAGGGATTGATGATCTTATAGACTAATATTATTTTTGAAACCCTGTTACAATATCTAGTGACAATGCATGGTGTCCTTCCTTTACTTTTTTTGCTGCAATATCATGGCAAAGTCATCACACCAAGAAAATAGTTAACAATATACATGTGTCTAAGATTTACTTAGGATTACATTTATAGTTCCCAAAAAAGGCTACTGCTGACAACAATATTGGGAAAAAGAGATCTTTTCAAAGCCAAGCCAATATTATTTTATGTCAATTTGACAATAATTGAAATTAGAATGGATTTGGGTAGTTGTGCCATGCCCCAACAGCTTACAAAATCTCTCCTACTAGGGCAACTAGTTGGTGAAAAGACTGACAAATGTGAAAAAATAACATTTAGGAGGCTGAGGTTTGTGATAATACAAATATTAGTTCTCAAATGTTATTTCTAATTCTGAATCAGACTCTCTCTCTCTCTCTCTCTCTCTCACACACACACACAATGTGTGTGTATGTGTGTGTGTCTTTATATTTACACATGCATTTATTCTTTATTATTATGTATTATATCTATACCCTGTCCTTTTCCTTCCAAGGAACTCAAGGAGGTTTACACAACTCTCCTTCTCTTCTCCATTTTATCCTTACACTGACTGCCCTGTGAGGAAGCTTGGGCTGAGAATTTGTGACTGGCCAGAAGTAAGTCCACTCCATGAAAGAGTTGAATGAGAACCCAGATCTCCCAAGTCCCAGGCAAGCCCTCTTAACCACTGTACCACACTGGTTCTCTATACATTTAAACAAAGAGACACATCAATGACTCAAAATATCAAAAGGGCTAATTATATTAGTGCATCTCTGTATTCATTACTTTAGTGAAATGCACACAATATATTTTCTGTATATTTAAATCTGAAAGTTGTGCTTCTGGATCTTAGGCAGCAAACAACTCCACACTGTTTCCACAGTGTGCAGATTTTGTCTGAACTTACCAGTCAGATAATCTCATGGTTACCTAGGCAGTTCAGTTTCCATGCTCCCTGCTTCATCCTCCCATTTTCACCATGCAGCCCAGCAGTCCTGTTTTTGTCCATGGAACAGCCTCCTCCTCATTGGTCCACTACAAATTTAAATGAGTTTCCCTTTACCCTTCCTGAATGTACCTGCATGTCTGTGGCACTTCCTAGCTGCTCTAGTTCCCACAGAGATTTTTATTAAATGAAAACAAACAATTTCACTGGGATTCCACCCTTCTCCCTCTATGAATTTTCATGCTTTCTCCATTTCCAAAAGTAAGCAGGGAGATGGATACACTGCTCAGCCAATGGGAATAAAATAAGCTGTTGCTAGGGAGCCAAGGGCAGTAAAGATTGAAAGCTAGAAGCAGTCACTTGCATGGTCATTCTTGCCAGTAGACTCTACGGCATCTCCATACCAACACTGGCAAAATGGCAATCCCAGTTCCAGATGAAGAAGCACGGAAACCTTAGAATGGAGTATTGTTCTCCCTGTGGTTTCAGAAAACTACTCCTACCATGCGGGAAATCTGGAATTGATGACACAACAGACCCACAATGGGAAGATTTCACTATAGTTTCTCATGTTGAATAAACCCATCCAAATTGCTTATATGACACTCAGACGACTGACACCATCCAAATGCTGAGGAAGACATTCAGCCCAGTAAGGAGCATATATCTTCCTTTGTTAAGCTCCCCTTTACCCTTAGTTGTTAATCAAGCATATCCACAGAGAACAGACAAAGAACAGCCCACACAGCAAAACTTTAAAATAAAATCAAGTTTAATAGTTGTTTTTTTTTCTCTTTCCAAAAATGGACTTTGCAATGAGCATACTTATGGGTATTACTGATTAATTCAGATAATGTATACACAGTTGTCCAATTTGGACATGCATATGTTGGTTTAATAAGCCAAAGAGTATTGAATCCACATGTGGCTTCTCTCCTCAATGAATACACCATGATAAACTAGGAAGTCTTCTATTAACCATGGCAATCTATAGTTACAAGACAGGAATGAGATAGGATTGTACCAAGTCTGGAAGAGGACTGGATTTGGAGTTGGATTACAATCCTGCATTGTTCTGAATATGGTGGCTGCAGTTTTCCTGCTGAGATTACATTGGGGATTTGTGCTTAATTTAAGATTTCTGTCTTCAAGAAGGGGAGGGGTACTGATGCACTGAGGAATAAAGGAAAAGCTTGTACAGGCACAAGACCTGTAGTCTCATACACAGTTTTCCAGAAGTAAATCTCACTGAAATTAACAGGAGTTATTTCTGAGCAGATATGCATAGGACTTCAAGGAAGGGTAACCTCAGAGTAAACCAGTCATGTAAATAGCCTCCATACCAGCTTTGGTAGTAGAGTTAAAGGTATAAATGTGTCGATGTACAGTCAATATATATCAAAATACTAAAATCCCAAGCAACGGATGTTTTATTTCTGAAGGGAGAATGCCTCTCCCCAGTAGTTTCACTTGCTGTGAACGTTTATACACCTTATATCAAAGAAGCAAAAATTTGAAGAGTGGATTTACTCTTGATTTGTGTCACCTTCTGATTGCTTTTTGTGAAAATTTGTCAAAATTTTGTCAAAATTCATATTGGGGATTATTAATGCGATTGTATGCAAGCCTGGAAGATTTGTCCGAAAAAGGAAGGATGTGCTATGCAAAAATCCAAATAATTAATAAAACTATGACTGTCGGAATATAATGGATATTTCTTGGTATATGTATTAACATTCATGGAAGACATACACAGTGTACTTACAGTGTATTTCTAGAACTTGCTTTGCTATCTGAGGTTTGGAGTTCAAGGACTCATGATCTACTCTGCAACTTATGGTTGCACCATCATCACTGCGATCTGCTTTTAAATTCATTGTGCTGCTGACAGTAAATGTTTTCCGATTTGCATCCTCTTCTTTTAAATATTTAACATCTGCAAAAATAAAGTTTGCCGCAGTTTAGCACCAAGGTTTGGGATAATAAAAAGCAGAAGAAGACTACAGTACATGAAACCATTTTAAATAGCAAACGGAAAATGCACCTTTCATCATGTTTGCTCACTCTTTCAAAGCAAACAAAGTTCTATTTCCAGACATTCCATTATTTGTCTTACAAAACTACCAATGTTGTCATTCCCAAATGTACACAGACACAGATGGGAAAAGCAATTTCAATATCAACCAAAAGGCAGAACTGTCAGAATGAGATTCTGCTCCTCATTATCTCTGATATAACTAGATTACAATCCAAATACTCTTTCCCTGAAGCCCATTAAAGAAACAGAAACACTTTTCTTAAATCATCTGATTAGGGATTGTTGTTGTTTTACCCTCTTATGTATGAATGCTTAGATCAGAAAGCAATATTTTAAAAAGAGATCAAAAACCTAAAATATTTTTTATAAATTATCCAAATGTACTAAAATTTATAAAGTATCCATGTATACTACTAGCATTTGATTTATGAGTAAAAGCTGTGTTTGAAAGTTGAACTATTGCTGAGCCGTGGTCAGGAAGGAATATCTTTACCTGCATTTTACCTGTTAAGTTCATTTTTCTGTTCAGTTGAACTCAGTTTTGTTTAATAAAGAGAGGAAATCTCTTCCCCTGACTACTATATTACAGTAATATAATCTCCATTCTAGGCTCATGAAATGGGAAAGGAATTTGTTATTTGTGGGTACAGACATGAGGCTCACTGGTGGTGTCCTCCCAAAGTGCATTCTGAGGATTTAGGGTAGCCAACAGCCTGAGAAGTGCATCATGGAATTTACATTCCTTGCCACCAAACGATGAAAGTGCTCCTTGACTAGGTGGAATAGGTCTGACCCTCCTGTCTTCCATTATCAAATGAGATTGGGGACACCTTGAAACACTGTTGATCACCCTGTTATTCAGTGCAGAGCACTACAGTGTCAGTATTTTGCAATGTTATTCAGGAACCAATCTAAGGAGAAAGAGACCACCATGACTCAGATTTAGTTTTGGTAGCAACTGTATAGATGTGCAAACTAGTTTAACTGAAAATGGCTTTATCAAGGTGAAGGAGGACATCAATGTGGTTATGTGACTTTGGATTTCAGTCTCTGAACAGCTATATTGTAGGTGTTGAGATAATTTTGTATTTTGAACTTAATTTTGGATATGAGTTTATATCAAATTCCTTCTTTTGTTCTGTTTGAATCTAGCCCCCAAGGACTTTTCAACTATTTTAAAAAATGATTCCATGCCTCTTGAAGCTGAAGGAATTGTGGTGTCATGCCCTTTACTCTAACAGTCCAGCTACAAAATGCACAAAAGCGATGCTTCATTAGATATATGCCCTGATCCAGTAACTTTGGTGGCCATAGAAGTTTTGAAGCTTTGAAGAAGCAACCCAAAGTTTTCCTCAGTCACTTCAATGTATTTAGCTCCACTTATTTACAAGAATTATGTAAGTAGGGCAGCTGCTTCCTGAACTGAAATGAACAGGACAATATCTGTGTCCACCCTATCTCTGGAATTACCACACTGCACACACACAGGGTTCTGGATAATGATGATAGTCTATCTTGCTGTGTTGTTGTCGTTAGTTGTGAAGTCATGTCCAACCCATCGCAACCCCATGGAATTCACAATGCTGTAGGAATTCACAATGCAGTTGAATATTCACTGTGCAGCAAATTTATTCCTAAGTGGTTTTTGTTTATACCCTTGAAAAACAGGCTTATAGTGGTTATTTTGGTTATTATGAAGGTCTTAAAATAAGCTTCAGTAAAGGAATGTACTACTGAGATTTGTGTGTCCTCAGTGTACTAATCAAAAGAAGCAAAGCTGAAGATGGCCCACTTAATGCTTGTGATGTACTGTGCTTGTTGTGGCAATGGTTAACCTGGGAGGAGGTGGGAACGGAAAGAGCAAAATGAAAAATGTAGTTAGCAACCAATCCTGTCTCTGTTCCTAAAGTTCCATTTAGGGACATGCTAGATATGTTAAATGGCATGGATTTGCAGTCACTTCATACTGGCAGATCGTGTTTTACAATAGGAATTCAAATAATAAGTTAACATATTAAGTGTGAAGCACTTAGAACTATTCAATATGTAATGAGGCCTGGGAATCTTCTACTTTCTTAGTCAGAGGAATTGTTGCTACCTGTAAAAAAGAATCACCAGATTCAGCAAAGGAGATGTTTACATGCAAATGCATGATGTGCATCAGGTTTGATGTAAATGTTTTCTAGGTAACTTTTAATATTAAAAAAGATGTTTTCAGAGAATGAAATGAATTTCCAAAATGGCAAAAAAACCTTCTTTCATTTGTGTTCATATTTTTATTAGGAAGATTAGGTTCATTTTCCTCAAGGACACTGTGATATAACACCCAGTCTGATTGGGTATCAGATTTGTTGCAAGGAAAAATGCATATGTTGCAAAGCTTCACTGAACTGGTGCTGCCAAAAGGCTTTTTGGGAGGCTTGGCCCCTCAATTCCTAGTATTGAAGGAGGGAATGGGCTTCCTGAATGTGTGTATGTGGAGTCCATTGTAGGTAGTCTAAATGCATGTCTTCTCTTGGGCACACACTCTCTGAGAAAACATAGTGTTTCACGTAGCTGGATGGAGATCAGCCACATATGACAAGACTATTATGGAAGTGGATTAAATATTTCCCACCATCACACACATGCTTCTCATTAACTAATAATTAATCTGCATTGCTGGTGCTTACATAATGACAATGTAAGCTAAAGGCAGATATTTATGTGGTCACCATGCAGTAATATCTGGATTAGTGCCTATAAATCTGAAAATTCAAACATTGTTTTATGTATCAGGTCAGCTTTGTATATTTTGTGCTATTTGTAGGGATAGGTGAGAAATTCATTTCCCTAGACTTTTGACCAGAATATAACCAATTCATTTTGGATAATGAATGCAGACCCAAAGGCAATTTGTGGTTTAGAATTCATACATTTCTGAGCTTGTAAAGTAATCCTCACAACAAGGAAAATGCACTAAAATGCATATATCATTAAAATGTGTGAAAAATGATTTTGTGTGTAAAGAACCAACACTCATGATCTGAGATGGGCTGCATTCCTACTGAGTCCCACACCCTTACCTATCTGCCAGCTAAACATAATGTACTATGATACTGTATTTCTGCTTTGCACACATATGCAGGTACAAGTGCTAAAGATTGGGCATGGCATACTTGTTTTGGGCAGGGACTCTGCCTCAGGTAGTTAGCTGAAGTAAGTCAAAAATATGTTAGAGAGGAACATTTCCATTTGATCGTATTTTGAAGGATACTTGCTATCAATTCATAATACTGCCTACCCTTGGATTTTGAACTATGGAAAGATCTTTAATTAGGATGAAAACATAATGTATTTATTTTCCTAAACCCTTGTAGAGATCTATCCATGATCCAATAGTAAAGTATTACAAAGGGCAGACTCTTCATTTTTCCCCAAGCTCCAAATTGGGTCCTCACATAACAATGACCATTGGAGAACCATACCAACAAAAGCCTGTAGCATGAATGGTTTATGTGGATCATCTGACAGGCAAGCATATAGACATCAGAGAGTGAATCCCACTGAAGAAAGACAGCAATAATGCACCCCATTTATCCACAAAATAGATTGGAAAATTGACAATGGACCATCCTCAAGTAAAGCTCACTGTATTTCACAAACAAATGCTGTCAAGCAATTTGCTGCAAGGTATCTGCATAGGTGGGAAAGTATGTGTTGTATTCAGTTAGAAAATGACTACTGGGAAATGGAAGGAATAGCTTATTGCATAAGATGACAACACCTTGGGAACTGAGCTTCAGCCCACAAGTTCTTGCATGTGATGAACAGGAATTGCATATGAGCATTATTATAGCACAATTGGAAATTGCAAAGGAACAAGATGCTATTTGCACATATTTAGCTCATTATAGCATATGTATCAGAGAGGTAGCTCCTCTGACATAAGTCATATAACCTGTTAAAATATTTTAACAAGTACAGTCTCTGGTCATCAGCAACTTCTGTTCACTCTTCCCAGTTTTAGCACCATTTACTAGCTCTGCTTCCTTATGTCATATTATAGATACTTCAGCTAATAATCATTATTATAAAAACATGGGAGAGGAATAAAAGAATGGATGAAAATGCTTACATAAGGAAGAGACAGCAAATTAACAGGAAGTAACCTATGAAATAGAAGACCTTGTGTTTCATGTTACTCAATGAAGTAAAGCAATTAATCCCAAAGAATCTGAAAGAATATTCCAAAGCTGAAAGAGTTTGCTGCTTGCAGAAAGGAGTGTGGGAGGGGAGGATATACAGAGGAAATCTTCTGTCATTAGACGAGAATGTTCCTGGGAATTAGCCGCAGTCAGCCATGCTTTGTTTGATCTATAACAGTTTTACAAGGCTAGACATTATAAGCAAAAGGAAGAAGAGATGATGAACTAAAACAGGTTTGTTGTAGTAGTAAGTCAGTTATCCTAGTGAGCCAAAGGTCTTTCCCAGGAAACCTTTCTCAACCTGATAGTTGCATTTATTATCATCCATCACCATTGGCTATGCTTATTAGGGCTGATGTCCAACAACATCTGGAGGGCAACATGTTACCAACCCTTGATCTAGTTGACACCAAAATTTGCTAGCATGGAAAAATAAGGAACTGAACTAGAAAACTATGCCATGTTCCTGGGGAATCTGACCAAAGTTGCTAGAACTGAGACTGACTCTTCTGAGTTTGTTTGTTTGTTCATTTTTCATCCTTTTTATTTTGCCAGGAGACTACTTCATGGATAACAACTTTGAGGCTTACTTCACAGACTAAGAGCAGTTTATTCTCAAGTGGAAATAAGACTATAGCTCTGCTACTCAAACCAGTTAGTTTACCAAATGATCTTGTTGTTTTGGAGGCTTCTGGCAACATGAAAAATCTCTACACTGCAAAAATAAAATTGTGTGGAATTTCTAATGCGTAGGAAGCTGTGCCACACACTCTTTGTTTAATTCTGAAAGAGGAAGAAGTCTGTGCATTCTAAGACTAGCTTTGCTGAAGAGCTATGACTGTGGTATTAACCAAAAGCACAGAGCCATTGGGCTTTATTCTGTCTGCCATGGTTTGAGAAGAGTGAAGGTTGCTTTACAGTGAATATATGTCATGCTGCATTTTAATTTTTTTCCATGTTTTAGCTGCTCAGATATTTCTTTTTAAAATGCTGAATCTTTAATTTATTTTGCAATCTGTTTTTTGTCAGTGGTTTCAGTTTTGCTTTATTATGCTCCACTGCATATGCTCCACCTGGCTACAGGACAACTCAGAAATCAAATGAAATTGTGCCATTTTTCAGGACCAACCCTACTCTATCCTTACTGTTAACTTTACTGTTATTATAGATGTTTTATTCTGTTAGTGTTTTAATAGGTTTGTAATGTGTTTTATTATGTTTTAATATATTTAATGTATTGTAAGCTGCCTAGCAAGGCCTTGGTAGTTATAGGCGGCCCATAAATATGTCTACACATAAATAAGTAAATAAACGGAGACAGCTCCCTCAAGCGGCAAATACAGGGAGCTGGCAGCAAAGCGTTGGAGAGGACTTTGGGTCATGCAAGACCCAAGGCTAAGACCTTTTTATTTAAATGTTATTTTAATTGTTAATTTATTTATTGGTTTTAGTTATTGCCTGGATGTATCCAATTTTTATATTTTTGTATTGTTATTTATTTGTTGGAAGCCGCCCTGAGGCTTGTGCGAATAGGGCGGCATACAAGTTTCCCAAATAAATAAATAAATGCAGACTACGCTTCACACCCTAAGTTACCCAGTTGTCTTCCAGTACAGCAGAGGAGCTCTCCGGGGTCAGTGCTGAAGTTTCAGCTGCCAGTACAGTTGGCTTCTGTACATGATATGGGAGGGAAATACTCTTCATCTCAGATGGTAAAACCTCCTTACACACTCCTACATTTTCTTGGCAAGTATAAAAAAGATATTTTCAGATAGAAAATGGGTGCCCTGGAAAATGTTCCACTTTCAGCTGCTGAGGCAGATTCCCTTTGTTCTGAGTAACTATGTTCATCATAAAGCTCAGTATGTAAGATCAACATTGCCGCAGCCCTTGGTAACGAGCTCTCTTGTCTGATCAGGATACCGGAGTGTAAAAGCAAACAGAAAGGAAGTAAAAGTAGGTTTAAAAGGAATGAAAAAACTTTTCTAAGTTATTTTATCATCCCTAGATGGACGTGTCTAGACATGTAAAGACTGAAGCCTGAAATAAGCAGACCTTGTAAACAGTAAGAAAAGAGTGAAAAATATTTGAGTGTCCAACCTAAAGGTCTTAATGAGATAAAGAAGAGTCTTGTGATTCGCCTCATTATCAAGGCACTGGGAAGTCTGTGGGAAGGAGTTCCCCAAGGATGTTACTTTTCCTTTTGTGTGAGAGCATATGCATGTACATGCATGTGCAATCATGCACACACATATTATGTAAAACAGTTAAAAGCATTCAATAAAAAAAACTTTGTTAACTTAGTGTTTTGTATGCATATTTACTATCTTCTCTTGTGCAAGCATCAGTGATACCCACCCAGGATTTTCTGAGGATATTCCCACCTCACCACAAAAAGAAAGAATGATTGCATGTTTGAGACGTTTATCTTTACATGTAGGTATGCAATTGTTGAGCTAGCAGGATTTTCTTGATTCTTCTCATGTACCTGAGACACTGAGACTTTAGTCTTAACACATTCCTGGGAATAAGTCCCTCTGAAGTCAATGGGTTTACTTTTGAAGGGACCTAATAAGACTGTACTGTAAGGTTATGTTCCTTATCTGACTAGCAAAGCATAAGACCCACAGAAGTCCTTCTGAGCAGACCTGTAGCATTGCACCGTTACCTTTATAAAAAATGTACCAAATGTTCTCAAGTTGTTGGAATGTTGATTTCAGTGCTAGAAACCTAGAATAATGTGACTAATTCAAAGGTACACCACTCTATCGCAGCTTTGCTTGAAATGGGGAAAGGTATGCTGTGACAAGCTTGTTCTCATCATCTTTGCCCATTCAAAATGCAGACCAGCTTGTTGTAGGTCCTGCTAAGTTCCCTGTTCAAACTGATGGACTGCCCTACCAGGTCCTAGGCTATTGTGAATCTCTTTGCACACCTGCCACAGGCAAACTACACCGTCTCTTACACAGCAAGGCCTAATCTTCATCTTCTTTTTCGTTTTCACATTTATTGCTATTTTCAAGACACTTACTTGCAGCTGGGAATATGCAATTTTCACTCCAACAGCTAAAATCAGGGAAATTAGTTGCCTTGTGAGCATTAGAGTGGCACTGCCTTGGTCTCTCTGGTAAGAATGAGACTATCATTGTGGAAGCTAATACTGAATTCAACCTTGCTTGTTAATGGAGAATGACAAAAGTCATACATTTGCTTGGAGAAAATGCTGCAGGAAAAGCACACTTTCTATCTCCTGCCTCCCTCTCTGCTTGACCACATGCATTTAGGTACATTTTCATTCTGATGGAGGTAATGTTTCTGTCTCTTCCTAATATCATTTTCTGATCTGGATTTTAAAACTTCTCATAACAAGGATGTTAAATAGAAGAAAAACATAAGGAAATTTCCATCAGTACCAACTATAGTCTTTTTATTCCCCCTCTCCTTAAATTCTGTATGTTAGCCTTTGTTGTATTATGCATTACTCAGCATTGGTGAATGATTAATATGTGATCTTATTACTTCCATAACTTTCCTTGGAAAAACTTCATGGCTAACTAATGTTGGACATCTTTGACGTACACAGATTCTAATGGAATATTTTAAGGGAAGAACTATTTCAAAGCTTTTCTGAAAAGGCAAGGTTCAAAATTAAAGCAGCAATGCAATTGAATACTGAAGTTTCTGGCAGCAGACAAAGTAAGAATAAAATGGAAAAGCAATGGTGAATCAAATGTCAGCACTTTTTATTAATTAAAATATTACCAATGTAACAATTTTAAAGCAGGGTTGGTAAAAATACTGGATTCATAAAATTAAAATATTTTTAGAACAAAGTGCATGCTGAAACTTCCTGAAATACAATGCACAGAATGTGATTTGTTCATTATGGGAGTTCAAATACCTTTTTAAATAGGCAATGCATATTTAATAAGCAAATCTAATTATTATGACTAGGATCAGTCCAAGGAATTTCACTTTATGAAATGAGTCATACTAATTCACTTCTCCACCCCACTTCCAAGTCAAGGTAAGGCTACCTTGGTAAGGATACCTTTAAAACCAGCCATCCTATGTAGCATCTGAGGGGGAAAAATCCCTCTTTCCTTCCTTGGTGGTAAAACTACAAGGATAAATTAAACAACTTAGCAGTTTGCTGCCCTTTTATGATGTCCCAAACTAGCTGGCTGTGGAGGCCACCTCATTCTGTCAAAGGGAAGGGTTGGTCTGAATTTGTTCTCTCAGCAATGCCCAGCAATTTAATGAGCTGTGCTGAGCAGTGCAAGGTTAAATCACATCCAGATGCAATATGCATAGCTGCACATATCATTGCCTCTGTTCTAAGCTAATATTCTAAACACAAAAAATAACAGCAAGGAAATATACTTTCTGGAAATAGTTTATTCTGTAGAGATCACTCTGCAGAGAAGCTCTTATCTGCCTCACAAAGGAGGCATGGTTGGTTGAGATACGGGAGAGTTTTGTTTTGCTTTTCCCCTGTGGCCATGCCCACACTATGGTAGCCTTGCTACACAAAGTTCATTTGGCCCAAACTCTCTTAACTTTCCATCATATATTGAAGAATTTTTTTGTTAATCTTGCAGGTTGGCTTGCTGAGCTGAAATGTTTCAATAAAGTTCTTATGCAGAGTTTTTTAATTGCTTGTCTATATCTTGATGCGGAATTTTAAAACTCTTTTTATTAATTTATTTTGTAATGTTAATTTTACTCAGCTGACCAGACTACTGTGATCGCAATAGAAGAGTGGGATATATATGAATTTGTAACATAAATATCATTGAGAGTTACAGCATGCCTCCGCCACAGTGCACATAAATTAGTCTACTGGGAGTGCAGGCAGACTATAGGACTTGCTTCATCCATACTTTTTGCGACAAGAAGTATCCCATTCAAACCCATTATGGAATGCATGGCACTGAATGCAGGAAAGTAGAAAGGGCATAGCTCCTGCATTTCTGCTTGTCCTATATGCACCATTTAATTTTGCCGTGTCTGCATTTTCTATGGAAGAGTTGTGCTGCAGAGGCTAGTCCAGTGGGCAAAACCCGCAATGGCACAGCTTCACTTCCTCTCTTCCTAAAAGAAATTGGCTTATCCATTCATAACTTGGAAGCGAGAGAAATGCTTCGTATTTGCTTTCTAAAATTCTTTTGATTGCTTTCGGTTATCTCGAAAGAATGAAACAGCTACAGTTTTGTAAATCAAATCCATGGATTTGCATGTTTAATTAACAATTGTTCCTTATAAATGAAATATACAATTCCAAACAATACCTTTCACCTCTTTTTCATTCTTGTACCATCTGATATCTGCAGCTGGCTTACTACCAGATGTTTTGCATGTGAGTTCCATCCTGTCACCTTCCATAACCGGTGAAATAAATCCACTAATTTGAGGAGTCTCTGGAACACCTAATGAAAAGCAAACAAATAAATCATAGTGTTGCTAACAAGTTACATTAAAAGAAATTAACTGTGGAGAGATGCAAAATGGCATTATTGATTAGTTCAATTTCTATTGGTTCTGAAGTAATATCAGGGTTAATAATAAATGCATGGCTAGCACTCATGATGGCTATATATATCCTCCACTATCAGAAGCAGCATGCCTCTCCATGCTAATTCCTGAAAATACACATTGAAAGGTGCCACTGCACTCATGTCCTCTTTGTGGGCTTCACGCACATTCTCAATACATTAGGAGGAGGAGTGGCAGTTAAAATGCATCGCCTGAGAATAAGCTCTCCAGAGACTAGAACTGGAGTTTTAAAAGCGTTCCTCTATGAATATAATGAGGGGAAAGGGCCATGGATTCATAGTAAGGAATATATGTCTCAGTTTAATTAGCTAATAATAATTCACTGATGTCACTCAGTTCTCTCTTTAGAGCACAGTGTGGTTTTGATCAACCCATATGACCATAATTTATATCCTGTATAAATTATGATTTCATGGGCTACATAGAAACAGTGAATTTCCATGCAGACCGTGAAATTGGACTCAGTGTGCAGCTGGAGCTCTGGGACCCTAGTGCACTGCAGAAAGGCAGACAAGCAATTGGAGCAAATCTCAATGCACCAACAGGTTCAGAAGCCTGTAAGGTGATGAGCTGCAGGCCTCCAGGCAGAAGGGAGCATGTCAAGCTAAGTCAGGCACTTCCCATTTTCCTTGCTTTATCAGCATCTAGACTTACTAGCTGCAGAATACTATTACCTGCTTGCTAGTGTGGTTTCCCTCTGCATTCTAGTTCTGCTCTCCTCTCTCTGGCTTTTTGCCCCCTCAACTATGTACAAATAATTTTAAAAAATCCTTACTTTCCTACCTCCAAATGGAAGGGACTGAGATATGGAAAACAGAAAATAGGAATGGAACATGAGACAGCAAACATGGTTGCACAGGATTTACCAAAGATACAGATAATTTATCTCGAAGGATGGGTGGATCGGTCTATTGCTGGTCTATGTTACTCTCATACCATTTCATTCCAAAGAACATCTGAATTAATCTGCATTTAAAAATCTATGGACAAAATTGCTCTAAAATGTGTATTTTAAAATCTACTTTTTTCAAAAGATGCATTGCTGAACATATTTTGAAATGGTTTTTGAGCTGACAACTTTCCCAGAAGAGTTGGAGAGGAGCAAAATCAGGTGGAAAACTTAGTCATGATCTCTATCTTAGTCCCGAAGATATAGTTAAATCATCAGAATTTATAGAAACTGAATTCTTCACAGATCATTACTAAAGGCATAGTGTCATCAGTCAGATGCGACAGAAATGAAATATGGAAAGTCTTAAATGAGTCAAAGACTTCCAGTGGTTCCAAGTTCAAAAGTCAGTGGAGCAATAGTGCTGCACAGAGATACTTGTCAAAAAAGAGAGTGGTGGTGAAGAAAGAGAGGTGGGATTTAAATCACAGAAGACAATCATTGCCTAAAGTAAAGTTTAGTTTCTTAGTTAATGTTCCAAAATAAAATCAAATCAAATAAAAAAATAAAGGAATGAGGAAGAGGAAGAAGGATGAAGAAAAGCAGAAGTGTCCAAAAACCTTCCAGTCTTTTCCATCAGATTATTCTAGCATTTCAGAACACTAATGCTTCATGCTTGGGAAAATGTTCATCAGTATGCAATTTTCAATATTGGTAATCATCAATCCCCACTGAAAGGAACAACCAGGTCTCTTCCTGTTGGGATATTTTTGCAAAGGTTCCCCACTTCAATGCAGGCAGTCTCAGGTCATGCATCAAGTTCGACTATTGACCACCAGTTCTCCAAAGCCCAGCACTGGCTAAGTACTGGGCATTATACTTATCAGCTCCCATTGAAAGGTCAGACCTAGGTTAAGTATTCCAAATCATGCCAAGATGTTGTGCATCCCAGACTGCTGTTGTGAATAATGTGGGGTGTACGCTTCAACAGTTCCCAATTAAAGGAGAGACTCTGCTGGTTATGGTGTTGGGCTATTTCTCATCATTTTTTTCTCATAGTGCCTCTAAGAACAATTTTGCAAACCTGTTGCTTCTTGACAAATGAAACAGCTTGTGTTGCAGAAGGACGACAGATCAATGCCATCAGGAGGGAGAAAAAGGAGGGGTAAAGGTTTTCTATGGTGGACACAGATGTGCAGCAAAAGCTTGTGACATAATAAATAAGGACAGGCTGCATCAAAAAAGATAGTAATGGTGAAAAGTGGAAAAATAAAAACAAGAGCCACTGGTAATAACAGGGGAGACCACAAAGCAACAGAGGTAAAATAGGATGGATTATAAGGCACAGGCAGTCAAACGGAGCATGCTAGGCAGTGGGCCAACCCACAGGCCAAACTTCAAAAACAAATGGCACTCTCGCTCTCGTCTCTCCCTCAGTGTTTAAAATTCGTTCAGACTGAAGATGCATCTTCCAGACACAAAACGCAACCCAACGCAGAATCAGGCAGCAGAGTAGTTACAAAAAGGGAGCAGATCCTGTCAAACCTTCCTGTAAAGGGTAGGAAATGTTACATGAAGCGGGGGAGGGAAATAAGGAATGCAACCCTAAACATAATTAAGAGGGAGCAAGTCCCATTAAACCTAGTGGGATTTACTTCTGAGTAAGAAATGCATCCTTTGGTCCATCATTTTTATCTTGTTGCACAAGATGAATAGCCTGTAAAAAAAAAGAACTGTGTCCTTGTGGTTCATGAACTTTTAACACTGGACAAAAGGTGTGCACCTTTTCAGTTTTCACTTGCGTCATGCCTTATCCTTTAGTTCATTTACTCTGATCTAAATTCATGGATGACTGATTATCCCTGAGCAATAGTAAACATGAAGGAAACAATTGCATTTTTGTAATACTCTAATTCTCTTTGGGATGTGTGATACCTTATGTTATCCTTAATAATACCTCTAACATTAAAATCTAATAATCCAAAAGAATGAAAAGGTGATTGATGCTCAGAAATTTCTTAGTTGATTAAAAAGATGGCAAAAATGTATTACAGGAAGAATAATTTTCAATGGATTCAATAATTGCCCTTAAATTACAAAAAAATTATAAAAGTACAGCTTGATAAATGCCTTTTTAACATTGCTATAGCCTTTCTCTAGAAACAAAATAGATAATAATGGGGTATATTACCCATTGAATTTAAAGGCCATCTGTTTTTTATTATCTTAAGATGTGCTTCTTTAGATTGAAAACTGACCTGCATTTGTCTTTATCCTGGAATATTCTGTTCTGAATTGGTCCCCCCACTCTTTAATGTCAAAGTGGTAAAATAGCCTCAGTGGAACTAGCAGAGGCACATATTTCATATCCTAGGAACAAAAGCAATTCCCTGGCTGGATTGCTTAATATTACTGGCACACAGAACATTTTACATCAGACTTATTAAATTCATCTCTCACCACATTATATACAAAGACACAAAAATGAGGAAAAACTGGGGGACAGAGAAAGAATAAAAAAAATAAAAGGCAAGGGAGCATGCAAAATCCAGGGGCAACCTGTCAGGTCCTCATGCATGATAGCAATTTATATATAAGTTGCTACGCAGAAAGATCTTTTCCTGCTCCTGAAAAGATGTTTGGTGCTGTCACCTTTGGCAGTGCTAGTGTATTGGAGATGGAGAGGTACCCGCAATCAGTCCTCTTATTCTCCATAGATGTCATCAGTCCAATGGTACACCTGCAGAGTTGGAACAGCATGTGTGCGCTTGCTTGCTCGCTCGCTCGCTCTCTCTCTCACTCTCTTGCTCTCTCTCTCTCTCACACACACACACTCACGTGCATATGGAGAGAGTGAGAGAAGAACAGTATCTAAAAAGGAGGTTCATGGAAAGAATTCAAATCTCTTGTGCATATGTATAACATATAAGACACAAGAATCAATATTTACTGATGGACTGGTTTAAGAAAATACAACTTAAGTAACCATATGCATGTGAATACAATCTTGTGAATCTTGATGTTTCAAATATTTTCTGGGCCACAAAACAAAACAAAAAACAAAGTTTTCCTTATGATGATTCCCTGAGTGCTCCAGAAAGTAGCATAATATTTATAAGTTTAAAAAGTCAACCATCCAAATGAAAATGTGTACATATGGAACAAAAGGCACAATGGAGTACAACAAAATAGTCAAGTCCTCACTGTCATTGGATTTAACACGCTACTGTTGTTTACTATGTCTCTCTGCCTTATGGAGTATGAAATGGAGAAACGAGTAAAATATAATCAACCCTTTGGTCCCTGGGTTGGAAACTGTACTATTCAGGAATGCTTCTGCGAGGCTGTTGCATTAATGGAATAGCCACAAAGAGACATGTGATTTCTGTCATGTCATACAGCAACTTTGTATGATCTGTACTAGCAATTTGTGCATGTTTTGAGCAGTGCCTGGTGGATTTGGAATACCACCTTATATGTCCATCTAGTCTGATATTGTATACTCTGACTAATAGCCACTCTGCCGATCTTCCACATCATCCACTATCTGATCTTTTCACTTAAATATAGCAAGGGTGAAACTGGGACCTTCTGTAGGAAGAGTGGCTGATCTGTCATGGAGCCATGTATCCTCCAAAGAACAAGTTAAGTGCAAATGCACATGTACCTCTAGTCTAGAAGATTCACAAGCTCACCATTTATACATTGCTCAAAAGCATCAAAAGTAGATGTAGTACTTACATTTTTGGCTAATTTTCAGTAAAATAATGGCCATGCTATATACTCAACAAATGGGAATGGCTTGTGCTTCATTGCATGAATGGTCACAGCATACCCAGGCACTCCCCTTTCTCCTCTTCTTCTAGTGTTTCCACAAGGAGGAATTTGGAAACTTTCTGTTCTCTTTTTTTCACCATGTTGCCTGAACCCAAACAAACTGTAGTTAACCTTAATTGTGGTTAGTGGAAACAAGCCACCTTCTGACTATATTTCAAAAAGCTTGTTGGTTGTATTTAACCAGATTAACCATAGTGTCGGGCTTGGAAAACATGCTAGTGCAGTTAATCTAGAACAGAAGTGGAAGTTTCTGAGAACAGATGAAAGGGAAGCCCTGATGGGAGTCTAGCACAACAGTCAGACATGGTTTCTTTTTGCTCCATCTTATATCATTCCTAAGAAGTGATAGCAACCATCCTGTCAACTCTTCTTATGTTGGTATTATGAACATGATATGCTTACCCAGAACAGTGAGGAAAGCCTTGGAAGTCTTGACAGGCATAGTAAATAAAGAGCAGGTGTATTGCCCTTCATCTGACAGTGACACATCAGTGACTCTGATGGTCAGTTCATGCCACGTGGCTCGGAGCAGCTCAATTCTATTGTCCCTCAGAGCTGTAAGGCAAAAATATAGGCATGTATTTAAAGAACCCCAATAATAAACTTAGCATCAGTGTATTTAACAGGTTAAATCTGCAGTTGTAAGAAATGCTTTAGGTACAGTTTTATTTAAAAAAAACTGAGAAATATTATTGATCTCTCATACACATATATACACGACACTTTGCAAATAGGCTTGACAAATAGTAGAAAAAGCAAAATGAAATGCTGTTAAAAGCCCAAACGTAAAAATAAACAAACCAAACCTGCATTTTTTCTGGGCAACTGGAATTCATAATTGCCATGGATCAAGTCACAATGCATGTCATCCTAAGCCACTCTGAGAATAAGTCATGAAGGGGGTTGTTTTTTCACTGAATAACCCATGATGGTGCCAACAAACAATCAGCTTCTCAAAGCTCATCATAGCTTGGTTCTAGCTCACTCCTCCTGCCTGCTCCAGCATGCCCCCACGGGTCTTTGTGGGAAAATTCCCATCCAGCAATTCTTTGCCTCCTTGCTAAGCCAGCAGACATTTTATTATTGGTCCACTGAGTGTTCTTGGCATGTCTCACCTTTCTGCCTTCACCCTTGGCAGATCGATTCCTGCCTATGCTTGTTTCTCAGCCCAAAATGGTAAGCCCAAGTATTCTCTTGTGTTTTTTTTTGTCTTTGTTGTCCATGGATAGCTGGTACTTTCTTTGGCTGCCTAAGACACAGGTTTCTGCCATTTTTCCATGTTTGCACCACCCCTTAATTTCGATGGAAGTGGCTACTTTTCACTGCTTCTTCCCCCTCTTCCTACTGTGCTCCAACTACCCAAGAAACAGCTTGAGTTCTGGTTCATCTTCCTGCACCCAACGGCAGATGCACACCATATTCTCCTTTAGCAAAGAATCCTATTTTACATTTGCTGCTCTCTCCTCAACTAGTCTTCAACAGCATGATAAGCATTTGTAGCTAAGTCTCTTCTTTCATCATTTATAGCACCCTACTATGTTATTAGAACGGTTTCCCCCATAAACCACCTTCCATCTCCATCATAGAGCAGTTCCCTAGTCTTTAGATCTGCTGTTTCTTGCAAGCAGACATGGCAACCCCGCCCCCTTTTTTAAAGGTACAAACCTTAAAAAAAAAAAAATCACGGTGAAGCCGTAATTGGCATGTTATGCAAACAAGCTTGATAACCTTCTTCACTGTGTGGAGTCATAGTGTTACTGTCTATAGTCTTCACTCCTATGGGGAATGCTACCTAAAGCAACACTGGGTGATATATGAATTGAATATGAAGAAGAATGGCGTACGGCCATATGCAAAAAATGTGGCATTGCTTGACTAATGGGTCGGGGGGACTGACACAGAATGTCCTCAGGTAGATACTTAAGAGGGGAGAAAGCTCACACAGCTCAGAGGTATACTTATGGGAAAGGATGCTTACATGGGACATGACTATTACGGCATCAGTGGAGTTGTGGTGAGGAGGCTTATCTACTGTAGTTATGTGTGAGGAATACGTCTTGGAGTGGGGAGCATTGGATTCCCTGGTCTAGGCTCCTTGGATTCTGGACTGCTTTGCAGCAGCCCTGAGTCTGAGTTCCTGGCAAGCACACCTAGTGTTCATGGGATGCCCACCAGGAATCGAGCTCCACATGCCGTGAAAGCAAGATTCCAGATGGCTGCTGCACATACTGCACAAGTGGACTGTTGGGTACTGTCACATTCCCGGAAGGCTCATGGAGTCAACCTTTTTTCCTGTCAGATGCAGCTGCAGAAATGGCTGCTACACATGGCCCAGAAGAGGGACAGGACCAGTGATGGGGTTCTCTAGGAATGGAGCCCCATAGCAGTGTCCCTCTGTTACACCAGTATTCAGGGCTCACCAGGAACAGAGCACTGTGAAACCACTGTATAAGCAGCATCTCTCTTTGACACCACCTGCAGCAGCCTTTGTGCTGCTGTACCTGATGCATAATAATGTTGCCAGTTGCACAAACTTCATTCCAGTTCAGTTTACTTTGCAAAACTGGGCTGCGCATGAGAAGACATCTGTGAAACCTAGGAGGACAGATTTCTCTTGGGTTATTCCCAACCCTAATCTATTGTATTCTAGCAAGTACAACAGTTGAAGGTAGATTAGATAATTTTGTTGCTATAACCCTTGTGCAAGTGTATTATAGTCCCTATTGGCAGCACACACATGGGTAATGATCCCCGATCCTATCAGCAATAACTGAGTGGATACTGCACACTTCATGGTATGTTGATTTTCTGAATAGTGGGTTCCTCAGAAAAGGTGAAGTCTGATTTGGTCAATTGTCAACAGCAATTACATCATTCTTAGTGTCTGGTTCTGGAAGGTGGGGATTGTCCTGAAAGAAATGTCCTTGAGAGATAAAGAGTGTGTAGGATGCAGGAATCAAACGTGACATCTGGTATAAGGTCTTCCTCCACATCCAGAAGCATGTAAAGTGGCATCATCATGATTTTAAGTGGACAAAAGTTTGCTCTACAGGGAGTCCAGCACTCAGCATCATCAGCATCATCTTATGTGTGGTGTCCTTGAAGCTTGGTATGGTGTCCTGAGCTATGGCTGAAGTGCAGAAATGGTTACTGAGAATGAGGGGGTGCATGTCAAATCGATTTACAAGGGCTGGTGGAGAATAACCCTATGGCTAGCTTATGTGCCAATAACAAATTCCAGAATATAGCAATGCTATGGTTTCTCCACAAAAAACTGCTCTGTGTGTGTGTCCCTAAATCTGCCTTCAAATTAACAGGAGTCTGGACTGCCATGCTATAACAACATGCATGGTTGTATAATTCATCGCTCCTCATGACTAGAACTAAAATGCAGGTGTGTCAAGATTGCAGTGTCCCTGACCCATGAGGAAGCCCATCTAATATAACCTCAATTTCTTTCTCTTATCCCTTCCCTTTATCGCATAAGCTGGTACAGCCCATGGGAGTGCAGGCGACTTCCCTGAAGATTTTGCACACAGTAGATTGTCTATCTCTGAAGGTATTGTTGAGCAGGGGGTGCCCAGTGTTAAAAGCAAGTTTGTACAGAGTCAGTCCTATTTTCCCCCTCCCTCCCTCCCTCCCTCTTTCTGTATGGATTTCCACATTACAATTTCGGAACGGTGAATTACAGGGCTTATTTCTATGGTTTTAAAAGCAGACTGGGACATGGAGAAAGTTCCACAATACACATCATTCTAAGAATATGCATTTGACATGAATGTCCAAATGGTTTTGGTATGCAGCAGTGCCCACCAATAGAGAACACATCGTTTTGCTGTAAGTTGCTGCAATCATAACATCATTTGTCCAAAGAGGAAGACATTTCCAGCCACTGCTGAATTGTTTATGGCCATCTTGGCAGAGGGTTCTTCTGTAAACCTGTTTGTCCCATTCCCCACCACTCATAGAGTATAAGTGTGCTACAAAATCTGCTCTAGCTATCATGCAATGGGGTGGAAGAGCTCATGCTGGTCATTGTGGTGATCAGTAAGAGCTGCTGAGAGCAACATTCAATGAAGCAGCAATAGCAGCTTCTCCTGCCATAATTCAGTTTTCAGCCCTTTCCAAAGTATGTGAGAGAAGTTCTGGCAGTCATGTGTCTCAATGGTTTAGCTGCAGAAACAAGAGGACCAGAAGAAGAAGAGAGTGCAGTGCCAGAAGTATGGAAATATGTGGTTTGGACTGGGTAAAGGAATGCCTAGCTCAGTTAGTGGCAGTGGGATGGGGGAGCGGGTGCCACTGAAGGAGGCTTTGCTTCTTGTGTTATAGAAAGAGCATGTGGAATAGCCGCAGGGTCAGGTTTCATCATGTAAATTGCAGTGGAGGAAAGGAGGGGAAACTGTGATCTGCAAAAACATCATCTGGAGGGCACCTGTTGCCGCTGCAGTAGGAAACCTGCTCTCTTCAGCCTGCACAGCCTATGAGCAGCAGCACGGTCTCATTTACACACCAAGTTCTTCATTTGCTTTGGTGCAGAAACCTGCAGGGCAGTAGGTAACAAATTTCAAACAGGTGAACAAGGGATGTGCTAATAAATTGGATATGGGAGTAGGGGAAAAGTGAAGGGGAAAAAAGTTAACTGGCAAAACTGCATGCTTCTTAAAAGGCACTATGCAGATTACACACAGCTGGCTGACAAGAGGAAACAAACAAAAAAAGTTGCTAATAAGTGAAAGATTGAAATTGTGTGCGGAGAGCGGGGGATGCCAAGAGATCACAGATGTTGCAGCCGTTCTGTCTGTTGCTAGGCAGAGTTCAGGAAGTGAGATGGCTTGTGAGGAGTGGCACATTTTTGGCTGCCCTTGCTAAGCAACTCCGCTGTCCCTTTCAACAACCAATTATGAAATTAACCTTCCAAGTTTGGATGACACAACTGCCCATCATAGCTAATCACCCATGATGGGCTGACATGTCAGATCAACCAGGTCATGATCTTTGCACTGAGTAACATACCACCGCAATGGTTAATATTAATCCCACTTGCCCATTTGTAGAATTTTCAATGTGTTCTTGCATCCCAAAGAACATACAAGGTTTTTAAAATTTACATTACAGTTTGATGTTCTTCGTATTTCATGTCTACCTTGTTTGATTGCTGTTGCCATGCAATTGCATGCTTGGTTCAAGCGGGGTGCCAGACAAGTCACATATCTTAAAACAGTGATGGCGAACCTTTGAGAGACCAAGTGCCCAAACTGCAACTCAGAACCCACTTATTTATCACAAAGTGCCAACACTGCAATAAAACCTGAATTTGCTGACCACCAGCACAAGGGGACAACGTTCCACTGACCACCAGCTTTTGGCCAGCCCTGAAAAAGGCATCTAAGTGTATTTCCTACCTTCTGCTAAAATCACAATGGGTTGTGCAGACTCGAATGGGCAACTAATCGATCAACCAACCCAGTAGCACAACAGTTTAACCACTGCACCACCTGCATCCTGCTAAAATCACAGTCCATGCAAAGTCCTGGCCTTTCACTGACCGGCCATGC